CCTATAAGCTTCTACTGTCCAGACAAATTCAGAAATTAATTTCCAGAAGGCTATTATCTTTTTTATAACTATATACAATTGCTGAGTACATATTTGACTTTCTCATGTTGACCCTTATAATCCTGTTACTGTGTTATTTGAACATTTGAACCTTTTCTTTCTTTGTCTGAAATAGAGATGAAAATCTCCTTGGCCACAATTTTAAGTATGATTGAGTAGGGTTCACCTTCCCATTTTCAAGTGGCTTAATAATATGAAATCTTCAAAACAACATATATTTTCAGAGACAGCTCATGATTTATTGTGCTGATTACCATTTATCTTCCCTATCTGTGGGTGAACCAGGAAGATGAACTTCTCAGAGAAAAATAAGACTTTCCTAGACAAATGTTTTGACTCTCATTCAGTTGTATATTGTTACCATAGAAAATGTCCTATTCATTTTCATAGTCTCAGTAATACACTTTTTAAAATTATAGGTCACTTATCTATCAATCTAAACCCTCAAAAACCCTAATTTCAAAATGATTCCTAAGATTAAAAATAATGTCTTAGCACCATACAGGAAATGTGTTCTACACCCTTGAGAACTTTTGCAAAAGCTAAATACACTGTACCTCACCTAATGATATCAAGGGAAACACTCTTCATAAAAAAGGGTATTCTAACATAAGTGGGTCTGCTGAGATAGCTGTGCTCCAAGAAAAAGAGGAACAATCATAAAAATGTTTATATTGGAACTACTAAGCTGAGAAATTTTAGGTCCTCTAACTTACCCTCCATCAACTTAAGTAAGGTGTGAGGACAAACATCTCCAGAAGAGGATGTAACAAAAGTAATGACCAGATGTTCTTTCCAGCATATGAAACAATGCTGGGTCAAAACTACAACAACCATAGACAAATTACCACCATCATTTGTAGAAATATAGAATTTACTTCATTGCCCTTCCTTTCTTGAGACTGTGCAATAATGCTGTATTATAATGACCTTGAGTCTTTGGAGAATTCATTATCAGTGTCTACTTAAAAGACAAGAAGTATAAGATGCATGTCCTATAAAATATACAGGAAACCCTTTTGCGTATTTAGTTAGCTCATCCTTTCAAATAAAAGGCAAGAAAAACATCTATTTTTTTCTACTTTGACCGCAGTGAGATTTTTACTTTGGGGCTTTGGTACTTTGATGTAGCAATGCATGTCTCCAAATAACACAGACAACTAAAGGGTCACAAAGTCATAATCACAGACTTCAGACAGACTCTTTAAAAATACTTAGTCATTTACATTATTCAAAGTTCGATTTTTCTCCATCCATTCAACTCATATTTAATTGCATAGCCTGTTCATGATGCTCTAAAGTAATACAAATGACTAAACATAGGTAACATTTTAAGTACATGTATGAAATCTTAAGGAAATATCACAATAATCAGTGCATGTTTCAAATCAATGAATGTTTATGAATATACTGTTTCATTTTGGGGAAAGGGGATTAAAAACACATGCAGATTACACTGAATTCACTAAAATACCATATCCATCCAACAATTATAATTGGAGGATTGACTCTTCAAAGCTCATTAGCCAAACATGTTCATTTATATTCTGATATTGTTTCTTAACATAAGGTCCCACAAGCTCCTGCAGAGTTTGATGCAATGTGCTTAAACGGTTGTTTGATTTTAAACTGACAAGACAATGGGCCACAACTTAGAAAAGTAATAGAACATGTGGATGACTGGAAGATGCCAAGATTTTATACAGCAAGCGTTCTTCAAAATAAGGAAGATGGTTGTCACAGAGCAGTGGAGGGAATTAGTGGTTTTCTATGGACTTTAAACTAGAACAAAGAGAAATGCTAGACGATAAATGTATTAAGTGGTTCCTTCTGGCATAGCTCCTGAGGGAAGACATTTTGTTTGATTTTTGGAATAATTATCTGAAGTTCAAATCTTTTATTTTAAATGGCCACTTAATATTTCTTTAGCTCTCCTTTGTTATTTTTTGCGTATTTATTGTACTGTAAAGAATACAGTACGTAGTTATTTTTAAATGCTGCTTTGAGAAAAACTAATCATTTCAAGGCAGCAGCAGAAACATTAAATAGCTTTGGCTCTTTGGAATATATGCCTAAGAAGCCTGGGATCATCTATTACAATAATGATCTTGCCAGAAGTTTGTGACAATGGTCCATATTTTAATAAAATTTAGTATAGATCCAACATCCCTCTCAGATCCAAAAGACTGGTGATATTTACAAATGTTATTATTATGCTTTTTTAGATCAAAGGCCTAGAAAATGAAGCCACAAGAGAGTATTTAGAATTTTAGCAAAAGCCACAACATTATCAGTTCTATATTGATTCTCAATTCAATGTCAATAGAAACACATCCTTCATCCTAATCACAGGGCTCTAGTCCAATAGTTAGTTCTTCTTTCTATTAAGGCATTATCCATAATAGCTTTAAATGCAGGGCTATTTACTTGTGGAATATAGCTTAGTGAGTACTGTTGCCAAGGGACTCTAATCATTGCTCAACCATTAATAAAGCACTTATATTAGGTTATCAAGATGCACTCTTTGGTGCCATCTGAACACAAGGATGAAGAGAATTATCAGAGCAGATAATTGACTGAGGCGAATGAAATGTAAATGGAGGACACCGCCAAAACCCAAGGTCATACTTCTTCAGTTAATAAGAAATATCTATCACATATAGAGCCTTATGGTGTGTTATTGCATTAGCTACTCTATTCCTGAATCTTTTATTACTGAGTTGCTATGACATACATAAAAATATTTCTTTTGGAGTCTGAAGGCAGATCAAACCTTGGCCCAACACCTTACTACACGTTATAGTGTTCAGGTGATAAAAATTCACCTTGAGTCCCCCTATTTCTTTTCTGTAGCATCAGAGTTATCTTTACTGTGGTTTTATTCTTTCTCGGGACTAACTGTACTTCGTGTTTTGTCACAGATAATCAAAATAAACTTAGAAGAAATGATTAATACTATTTTCCCAAATACCAATAAGATGATTAAAGCATAATCTTGGTTTCTTGAAACAGGGGTTTATGCACAGAGTACATAACAAAACATTAGTATTGAATAATATAAATCATGGTATCAATGAAGATGTTCATAACTTGGGCACTGCTAAGTGCTATAATCTTCACTTCTAACATAGTGACTGGCTTCCTTAACTTAATCTCTTACCATCAGTATTAGAGTCCAAGCTCCTCACCTGGATCACTGCAAAGCTTGAGATTTCTTCCAGTTTTTTCTTCTTCAATATACATGGTTCTATCCAAAGTGTAAATAAATCTTACTACAACTCAAGGTTTCTTAAGATGCCGAAGACAAAGAAAAAGGCCCTGATGTATTTGAAATAGCTCAGCAGGTAAAGGCACCTAGGTTGAAAATGTCAGTTTGGTTTTGGTCCCTGGGACCCATACTAGGTAGAAAGAGAGCTAACACTGCAGGTGTTCCCAACATATGTTGTGACACACACACACACACACACACACACACACACACACACACACACACAAAGACATAAACAAGTACACACAAAAATAAAATTAAACTAAAAGAAAATCCAAGTCCCACATGTGGTATATGGAGTTCTTTATAATCTGCCTATGAACTTTAATATCAAACCACCTTCTTACCTAATTCACACATACACACACACACACACACACACACACACACACACACACACACACACTGATTTTCTTTCAGGTCCTTCTGTGCTATTTTTCTGTACATTGATTGGCTCACCTTCATTCCAGGAACTCTGTCTCCCATAGTTCCGTCATACATCAGCTATGTTACCTCCCCAAGGGAGACTTTTTGGTTCTCTCCCAGTGCCCTATCAGAGAACCACATAGCGACTCTCATCTGTAACCTTTTATGTTGTCATTTATTGAATGGCTATACATTTTCCCAACTACAGTATAAAAAGAAACTTACTGCCACTTCCCTTTACTTTGGTATTTTAAGAGTATTCAAAATTTTTGCTGAATGAGTGATCTTAACATTAATGCTCTAGAGAAACCATTAACACAGATCTCTAAAGTACTCTGAAATAATTTTGAGAAACATGCTAATTTAAAAAAAGTACAGAGCACTTGCTGACATATGAAGTCAAAATAAATAGAAACGCAACTGTTAACAGATCCAAAACATTTTTTTTTTTTCTTTTCAGCTTGAAAACACATTTTCCTGTTGTCTTTCAAGTTGGGAACATATGCTAATTTCATAACAGAAAACTTCTTTCCTAGACCAAAGGTAATGAGAAAGCTTTGCAAGAGAAATTTAAGTGTACAACACAATATTGCATGTATCCACGAAACACAATCAACCACATATCTAAAAGGCTTTAAAAGCATGATAGTTTAATCAGAATATTTTTAGTACAGTTATAAGTTCTTACCAAATGACTATCTAGCCATCTGCAATGTACGCCTGAGTGGCAAGAAGCTGTGCTACAATTTACTTTTAAAAAGAAATAAATTCACTTAAGGAAGCCAGAACTTGGTTTTACTGCCCCTTCATTAGATGGCAATATTCAGCTGAGTGGGTATTTAGTGCTAAATTTTCCATCTGCAATTTTAGATTTATATATTACTTATCAACTGCAGACTTTTAGGAAAGCGAAGGGCTAGAACTTTCCGTTAAGAGGTCAGTCTTACAATGTGAAGAAAAACACCGGACGTTGCACAAATCTGATGGCATTGTCGGTGAAAGTAGATGGCAAATGTCAGGAAACATCTTTTGAGGACTGGCATACAGAAGTGACTTGTAAAAAACAAAATACCCTCCGTGGATCTAGCATTGTGAGCCACCTGCTAGCTAGAACTCACTTCTTAATGATAAATATTGGGAAACACCTGCCCTAGAGCACAGGGACCAGAGTAGATGCAGATGCCATGGGTCCCAGAAACAGGCTGTTTCTGCTCTCACTCCACTTCCCGCTGCAGGACGGACTCACCTGGGGTGAGACCACAGTCAGAAAGGCTGCAGGGAACATCGCAGGGCCCACCAGGCTCTGCAGAGCTGGTCCCCACACGCCGGTCACTGCTTGGCCTGGCCGCACTCGCGCCCGAATCTTCTCTCCATTCAAAGTACAGCCTGGCCCTTCCACCATCTCTGCAGCCCGCCCTGAGCTCCTGAGGCCAAACTGAAAAACAACCAGGAAGCAGAACTTCCTGGATCACAGACCCAGCAGAATCAAAGTTCAAATCTCCCGCGCGTCTCGCCTGCCTGGGCCCTTGGCCACGCCCATCAACAAACAAGCCCCGCCCATTTGCGTCAATTTCCCGCTCAGGGGTGCTAACCCCGCCCCGGAAAGTTGCAGACAGCAGCGTCCCTCTCGCTGAGGCTCACACATATTTCTCTCTGAATTCTGTGCACGGTGAAAGGAGCCCAAAAAACCAGGGTTAATGTAAGAACGCGGGGAATTGGGACTTGAAAACTTAGCAACTGTGTTCCAGCTACTCAGCCCATGCACTTTCCCTAAACCCACCTCTAAAAATGCTTGATAAACCTTAGTCTGACCCAAAAGTCAGGACAAAAACCGAGGGGCAGTTTTCAGAGACGAACAATATTGCCTGGATTAAAGACTTCTTCACTTTCAGATAGTTAAGTGTGCTGTACCCAAAACCATGCATCCATTTTGTTTGGGCATGTACTGAGGGAATGTTAATTTGGTCTTCTAACCCTTTTCATAAATTTGAGGGTATTATATGGTTTTCCAAACTACCCTCAACGCTGAGCAAAGCTGAACACAAGTCTTCATATAAGATTCCAATCTCTTAGCAAAGGCTGTAAGTTACAAAGAACTTACTCCTTTTTGAGCTGAAATATAGCACATTAAAACAACGCCAGTTTGTAGTTTCATAAAAGCCCAGCACTGTACTGCAGTTAAAGTGGAAAAATAAATACAGAGATCTGTCTAGTGGCTTTCTAGTGGGAGAGATGAGTGGTTATAGTTGTCTACATAAGACTCAGGACTATCTAGACTCTTGTTAACTCAAATTCAGTTCTGTTCATAGATAGAGAAAAGTCTAAAATAGCCTTTTCACTTTTCACCTTTGTATTGTTTATTGGTATCTAATGAATGACATCATTTCTTGTTTAACAGTTTCTGTGAGTCATAAGTTGGCAGAGTCTATGTAGCTAGGAGATCCACTTCCAACAGGATTCATTTACATGGACACACTTTGCTATAAACATTCCTTATTATTTCAAAATTCTGGGAAAACTCTATAAAGTTAAGGAACTCAGTTCTATTTTCTGTTTCCAGAATATACTTTCTTCTTTCCCTGTCTTCTTTTCTGTGGTAATTTTAACTATCTATCTATCTATCTATCTATCTATCTATCTATCTATCTATCTACCTATCTATTCATTCAGAGGAATAGAACCAATAGTATGACTATATAAAAGGGGGATTTATTAAATTGGCTTACACTGTGCAGACTAGGTACTCCAACTTCAGCTGTCTTCACGCTGAAGAGAATGAGAAGCCTTTAGCTTTTCAGATCATGGTGAAGCTGAACACCTTAGCAGTCCCAGCCTGATGCTGAAGACCTGGAGTTGTCCCAGAGAGCCAATGGTCTTGGGTAATTGGAAACTCAAAGATGCTGGGTTCTGGTGTCAATGAAGGATGGCAGCAGCCATGGCAGTGACAGCAACATAGTAGATGGGCAGGCCAACAAGACATGGACTGAAGCTGCTAAAGAGGAAGGCTTCTTTTGTTGGACCTCTTGTATATGGGCCACTTCCCATTCCAATTCCCCTAATCAAAAGAAGAAAACCCTTCACAGGTATTTAGAGAGGATTATCTCATGGGTGATTCTAGATCTTGTCAAATTGGCAAGCAAAATTAGTCATTTATCTGAGTTGGAGTCTTGCTGTGTAGATCAGATCTGTTGATGGCTTCTTTAAAGCCAGAGTGTTACAGCCATGCACCATAGATGCTAGTCAATGGTGTTTTGTTTGTTTGTTTGTTTGTTTTTTACTTGTTAAAGCCTTCTTCATTCTAGTTTATTAGAAATTGAACTTCAAAGAATAGTTATACAATCTCCTCTTGAAATCCCTCCAGATAAAGTTTAGAGTGAGTCTCTTGTGTTATGTAGCTGGTCTTTCAGAGAATTTACCATCACACTTTTATATTAATTTGTGTGTATACTGGGTTTTCATGAGAATAGATTCTCATTCTTTGATGCCAAGTGAATATCCTGATAACCCTTTTGCTTTTCATAATACTAGGATGCTTTTTGGATTGGTATATAATAGACAGACATGAAATTTGAAAACATTTGGATTTGTTTTCCCAAATAACTTTCATTATATATATATATATATATATATATATATATATATATATATATTTATATATATATTTAATATTATTTATTTGAAGTAAAATTTAATGTTTTCTAAAATAGTGTATGCAAGGCTTGGGATTGACCAAGCAAGCTATAGTCAACCAGATAGTTTCAACAATATCAGTTATACCACACTGACTCGCAGATGTTTTTGTTTGTTTGTCTGTTTGTTTGTTTTATTAACAACTCAAATGGTTTAGTGGAAAAGAACAAAATCTTAAATCAGCCTCACAGGAAATCAAGGACAAACTAACAAAAAAAAAAAAAAAACCTCTTAGTTACTTTTCTATTGCTGTGAAGAGACACCATGACTAAGGCACTTATAGAAGAAAGCACCTAATTGGAAGGTTTTTTTTTTTTTTTTTTTTTGCAGTTTCAGAGGGTAAGTTAGTGACCATCATGGCAGGGAACATAGGAACAGACAGGCATGGTGGTGGAGTGTTAACAGTTTAAATTTTCTCCAGGCTGGAGGTAAAGGAGTTTGGCTTCATGTAAGCTTTTGAAACCACAAAGCCCACACCCAAGTGACACACTTCCTCCAACAAGGCTACACCTTCTATCCTTCCCAAAACAGTTCCACCATCTAGGGACCAAACATTTACACATAAGAGCCAGTGGCAGACATTGTCATTCAAGAAACCAAGCCTTCCCTCTAAGGAGTATGTTTTGACATATTTTGGATTATTAAACTTCTCAAGGTCTTTGAGGAAACTTCTAGCTAGAATCACAACAGTATAGCACTGGGAAAGTTGTCTTTGATGTAAGTTAGTTGAATATATTTACAAGTATGTAGCATTCATTCTCTCTCAAAAACCCACTTGGTTTGACCTTAGAATGAAGGGAACTGTCAGCAGTGAACATTATGTGCAGGTGTTTTCAGTGCTATTTACTGGAAAGTCTCCAGTCTCTCAATGTTAAGAGAAACTTTTAACAGTTGACTACCAAAGAACAATAGAATGCATAGTAACAGGAAACATTTAGACACTTTACTTGTTTGACAGGAACCCTCAGTGTTGCAAAAGAGCAGGTGGGTTGAGGTTTTGTTTTATTTTGTCTCTTTCTGAAGACCAGAGGAATATAGGTGATAGTTGTCAACTTGCAAAGTCAATATCAAACTTGCCATTTCCACCTTGTGTCCCCTCTACATAAAATTTCTCTGACATAATATTGTGTCTTCTGTGTTTGTGGTACTTTTATTATTCTTGTTATTATTATATAGTTGTTACATAGTTATTATTACAGTTGTTCCAAAAGGGAGTTTTTTCTTTCAAATTCAAGTTGAAACATTTTAAATAAAAGTAGTTTTGTCCCCCCCTCCATAAAAGATAACCTTGTTGTTATCATATCTCATCAAGAGGAACAGAAATTACTGTGTGTTGTCATTACAGGCCACTGGATAACCTTTATTAAGTTGCAAGTGCATTCTTTTATCTGATGACAAATTTGTGATTAAGAAATAATGTTTATTGTGAAAAGCCACTGAGACTTTAGGATGAGATGTTAATGCAGCATAATCTAGGAACATATGATCAAAATGCTTATCTTTGTACTTAGACTTTTAGTCTATGATGATATATATATATATATATATATATATATATAGAGAGAGAGAGAGAGAGAGAGGTAGTATCATAGGTGAAATATATCTATGATATAGTCATATTGTTTCATTAGATCTAGGTCACCTTACACAGTTCTATGCTACTTATATATTCATGTGTTTCATTTGAGCTGTGGGCAGGTGGGGAGTCCTGTTATCTTAAGCAAGTCATCTTGAACTTGTGGGTGCAAATGATCCTGTCACCTCAGCATCCTGAGCAATTGGAATTATGGGCATGCTCCACCATCACACACAGCTTAATGTATGCTATTTTTTCTTACTGAAGTCTCATAATATGCCTTGATATCTTATAAAGCGAGTTTCTACTTTTAGTCTTTCTTCTTGAAATTGCTTAGCTTTCCATGACTATTTAAACTTTCAAGTTATATTTAGAATCACTTCAAGTGCCTACTGAATTCTGATGAGACTTTAATTATAAATACATTAAATTTATAGATAAATTTGGGGAAATTAATAGCTTTACCACATTAATGTGCCTCTTTTTATTAAGTTTCATTTGATTAACTTCAGAAATTTATGTTTCACTGTGACTACAGTGTGCTTTTTTTTTTATTGGCTTAGTTCCTACTGATTTGGTGGATCAGACTGACATTTTGTGCAGCAGATTATTTTCCAAAAGTATTTTAGCTGGTCGTAACTAATTAGGCTATGAACTCCATTGTGAAATGTATATAAATAATTGAGGAACATAAGAAAATATTAGCACTCACTCCCATATATACCTATTTTTAAACATGTATTTATTTTTATCTTATGTGTATGGGTTTTTGCCTGCATGTATGCAACACATGTATGTGTATCCACAGAGGCCAGAATAGGGAATTTGATTCCCCAGAACTGGAGATACAGATGGTTGTTAGTACCATGTGCATTCTGGGAATTGAAACCCGCTCCTGTGAAAGGACAGCAGCCAGGACTCTTAACCACCATCTTTCCATTCCCTGTATGAATGTTTACTCTCGATTCCTTATGAGAACAGGCAAGGGAAAAAGGGACTAGAGACACAGATTTCCTTCTAGGTCATATTCCTCAATGATTTAAGGACCGCACTCCTTTAGGCCCTAGTTTAAAGAGACCACCATTATCATCAAATTGTACCAATTTAATTTGCCTTTGGTGGGGACATACTAGCTCAAACCAGTGTAGTGGTATTAA